AATATTAAATATTACGAATTACTTAATGTTTAATTGTAAATTAATTTAATTAAACAATAAATATATATATTAATTTTAATATGAGCTGAATTCAAGATATTTTTTTTTATTTTTTCAGGGTTAATTACCAACGTGATTCTCGTCGGTAACTAGGAAAACAGTAATAAAAAATGGCGCCTGAAAAAATTGGCACTTGAAAAAATTGGCACCTAAAATTTTGGGGATGAGCTGAATTCAACATATTTTTTTTTTTATTTTTTCAGGGTTAATTACCAACGTGATTCTCGTCGGTAACTAGGAAAACAGAAATCAAAAATCGTGCTTGAAAAAATTGGCGCCTAAAATTTTGGAGATCATTTCAACCTACAGCGAAGATCTTCGTGGTCAGACGTGGTTCTTGTCGGTGATTAGTAACATGGCCAGCCATTTCCACTGCATTGTCAGACGTGATGTTCGTCGGTTATTAGCGCAGGGCTCGAGGCTCCTCTATATGTGCAGACGTTATCCTTGTCGGTAATTTACCGACTTGGAACCAGAGATGTTTTCCGGTTAACTGTTCCAGCTCCCTATATGCAAGATGTTTTTTGTCGGTAATTATGAGTGCGTTTACCGACGTGATTTTCATCTACGTCGGTGATTGAATTACCGAGCCCGGCTTCACCGAGGCAGCCATTACCAACGTGATGCAAGTGGGTATTTTGTTTCACCGACCAGATTCCCTCTTTCTCCAACATGGTTTCTCGTCGGTGATACAGTGAATTCTTGTAGTGATGATGGGAGGTTTCAATCTGAACTAACAATTTTTTACTGCTTGAAACTCCAAAAATGGTAGAAATTACATTAGAGATTGTCAAACTCAAAAATAAAAAATTATTTTGTAACGTAATTTTAAGTTCATGTTCAAACCCATTAAAAAGAATGAGATCTTAAACTGAAATTATTGCAAAAAAATCGAATTCATATGTATTGTGTTATGTTAGAAGCAATATATATTCACTCAAATTGAATGCAGAGTGAAAAAAGAAGAACAAAGAGAAGAAAGAGGCCGTACCGGCGGCAGCTGCCCCAACAACATCTCCTTTGGAATCCCTTACGTTTAAAACCAATCTGGTTGTGTAGTTACTGTGGTAGGAATAAAAGTCTTGCAGGTTCATGTTGATGCAACTCACCCCCAGCTTCCCAACCCACATATCCATGTCAAGAACCACACCCACACTCACTGGAATGGTCGCGGTAGCCGTCGTGTTTTGAGCCAATGCCAACTCC